GGCAGTGTTCAAACCAGGTTGGACAAAGCCTGGAGCAACCTGCTCTGGTGGGAGGTGTCCCTGCCCAGGGACTAGATGATCTCTAAGGTCCATTCCAACCCCTTAATATACTATTTGAGCAAGTCCAGATGAGGCCACAGAGCTGATCAGAGCACTGGAGCACCTTCCCTATGAACACAGGCTGAGGGAGTTGGGGCTGATCAACCTGGAGAGGAGAAGGTTGTGTGGAGACCTCAGAGCAACTCCAAGGTCCATTCCAACCCCTAAGGTCCATTCCAACCCCTTAACACACTAGGACACTATGAAACCCCCAATTCTCCTGTAGGCATCACACACCCAACACAGCCAATAGCCATGGAGCAGCTCCCAATCCATAGAGCTGTCACATCCTGGACATTAAAAGACATTAATACATAAATAAATCTTCATTTGAAGCACTTATTCCCAGATTTTCCTAGCAACAAATCCATGTGAATAATGACTGACAGTGCTGTCCCACTGGATGTCTGAGCAGGAGGCAACAGTACTGATTTTCTGCGAGGATGAGGATAAAGTCACAAATACAAGAACTCATCAGTTTGTCATTGAAAAATAAGAGGAAGAACCTCATCCTGCAAGAAATCCCAGATGGAGTGGGAGGAAAAGGCTGTTGGAAAAGAGGGAGACTCCCCTATTCCTACTACTGCCACAGGGTTGCAGAAAAAGAGGAACATCCCGTTGTCACCACATCTGGATCTATCAAACCTCACTTGGAAGTTGGTGCTTTTCCAACATTTCTGGGAATAAATCCATCCCAGGTTGGAAAAAGTGGATAAAGAATGCCCAGGATGATGGGACAGCACACAGACAGAAAGCACTGCGGGAAGTGGAGTTGTCCCAACTCTCACCAGGATTTGAAGATACTGGGCTGCAACAAAAAAAAAAAGGCAGGAAAAAGCCAATTCTGGAAAGATATTTGGCAAGAGCCAGGCTGGGAGAGCTGGGAATGTCCAGCCTGGAGAAGAGAAGCTCCAGGGAGACCTCAGAGCTCCTTCTAGTGCCTCAAGGAGCTCCAAGAGAGCTGCAGAGGGACTTGGGACAAGGGATGGAGGGACAGGACAATGGGGGATGGTTCCAGCTGGATTTAGGTGGGATATTGGGCAGGAATTCCTCCCTGTGAGGATGGTGAGGGTCTGGGATGGAATTCCCAGAGCAGCTGTGGCTGCTCCATCCCTGGGAGTGTTCCAGGCCAGGTTGGATGGGGCTTTGAGCCACCTGGGCTGGTGGGAGGTGTCCCTGGTTGGAACAAGATGATCTTTGTTCATTCCCAACGAAACCATTTTAGGATTTTATGGTTCATATGCAACACAGTGTACTTGATGATCCTTGGGAGTCCTCCAGCTTTTCCCTGGATAAGGAGAGAAGCAACCACTGCCACCTCTTCTAGCAGGTCATGGATTCAGATCCAAACTCTTTTGCCTACACCAGAGGGAAGTGAAACAGCCTCATCTGGAAATTCTGGAGATAAATGTGTCTATGCTCTTTTATCCACATGAATTTAGCTCCAACATTTCCAACTCCTTTTTCTTTTGGTCAAGTACTTGAGCTCCTCCTGTCCTGCCCTTAGCACAATCCCTGAGTGAAAATATTTGGATGAACAAACCAGTAACAGCATTAAAAACACTTCTGTTCTTTACATCCCATTGGAACAACTTCAATTTGGGATCTACCCCAATTCCTGAGCCATTATTAAACATTCCATGTAATCAGATGAGGGTTCTGGAATAAACTGCAGGTGTAACACTCAGGAGAACATCCCAAGTAACCCCAAGAGAACTCCTACCAGTTTGCATTTCCCATTTTCTCTCTGATCCTTAAGTGAAAGCAATTCCCACAGAGCCAAGTGCCTCACTGGGCAGTCTTGGCAGTGGCTCCACTGACTAGATCCAACAGGTCCATTTGGGTCCAGAAAGGAACTGGAGAGTCAGGAGATGGACAGGCACTTGGGAAAGGCAGGAGCAAAGCCTTCAGTAAGAAATGCAGAGCTCATATCCCAAAATCCTGTTTAACAGGACAAACAGGAACCAGCCAAGCTGTGTCACACCATGACTCACATCGGTGGGGACAGCAGGGGCTGATCCAGCTTTTTCCTGCCACGCCTGGGGCAGGATATGTCCCTCCTGTCCTTCCATCCTCAGCCCTGACACACTCTGTGTCACTTCTCTGCTCCCAGGAATGATGTTGCTCAGTCTTCCTGCTCCATTCCTGCCCCACTCTGCTCCCAGTGTCTCCCAGTAACACCTCATCTCCTTTCCTCACACTTGTCCTGTGAGGAATGGAAGACTTTAAAATTCCACTACCTGATGAATAGCCTCACTTTGCCTAAGGAGAATTCAAAACTACATTCCCAAAACCTCTCAGAGCCAGGAATTGAATCCACAAGCCTTTAATTACTCCTAGCTCCTATAGGAGCACTGGGAAAACAGAAGTCACCTACCATAATTACAGATTCAGAGGGAATATGTGTGAGTTTTCCCAAGTCCTGTCCATGTCCAGGCTTTGGATACTGCCTTGAAAACATCCCTGTCCCATCCATCATCCAACAATCCTGAGAAAACAAACCCACCAGAGTCCTGGAGCACATGGAACAGCCCAGGAATAACTCACCAGAGCTGTACAAACTCAGAGCGTGAAGATATTTCAACACATGAAGCTGCAAATACTCTGCCTGGGATTGAACCTCTCCGAGAAAATCCTTGAGGAATAAAGGATTCAAACCTAGAAACTCAATTTTTAATCAAAGGAAGCAAATCCAGAATTCATTGAGGCAATTTCCAGGCAGTCCAGGCTGAATTTCCCTGCTCAAGGGAAGCAAAAGAGCTTCCACCTGTGTGAGATCAGCATTTAGCACTTACTATCCCAGAAAACATGACTAGAACTGTCCAACTTTCATCCTGGAGAACCTTCTCTGGGAAGAGGCCACACAGGAAAAGGCAAACAGGACATTTCCTTTGGGTTTTAGTCACGTAGGAAGCAAATCAAGGAATGTTTCTACAGCAGGAACAGCAGCTTGGCAAAGGAAAAGAGGCACCAGGCATGGCCAACAAGTTTAAGTAAAGCAAAGTCTGAGATTAGATGGAAAAGTGCACAGATCCAAGCTGGAAAATCATGTCAATCCCTTCACTCCAGGCAACTCTCAACTCCTAAAAACCAGGATTTATTCCATGGTCAGCAGCTATCAGGAAAGGTTTGATCCACTTCAGCACAGGGGAATGAACCATATGCTCTCCCAAAGCCACTTCCAGGCCTATATTCCCTGTTTTCCCTACTTTCTCCAGCCTTTATTTGCCAACTTCACAAAGCCACAAGCACAATCTATTCCTTCTTTATCTCTTTTATTTTCATTCCTATCCAGTTTCAGGCAAAAAATCTTTTCAGGACGGGAATATTTCCTTCAATCAAGACATCAGGATTCCAAACACATTCCCAAAACACAGAGGGTTTTGACAGCTGCCACTCAAGCTCCCGGGGGGGAGATTTAGATCTGTTTTGTATGTCATCACCCTATTCCTTGGGCACATTTTTACTGACAGTTTCCCAAGGAAGAGGTATTTTCCAAGGCACACAAGCTCCAACACAGCCAAGGGAATTCCAGCTAGGCCTCTGACCTGCACAAATCCAGGTGTAAACACAGAGCTAGTTTAACCTCAGGTCTGTTCCTGGATCACCCAAACAAGGTGATATCCCTGTAACCAGCAATGTCTCAACTTCCCCGGTGGGAAAACGCAGTTGCAATCCCAAACTGGGCTGGAAATGACCTTCAAAGTTATCCAGTTCAAACCTCCTGCCAGGAATAGAGAAGCTTCCACTAGTTCAGGTGGCTCCAACCCCATCCAGCCTGGCCTGGAACACTCCCAGGGATGGAGCAGCCACAGCTGCTCTGGGAATTCCATCCCAGTCCCTTAACACCCTCACAGGGAGGAATTCCTTCCCAGTATTCCATCTTCCCCTGCCCTCTGGCACTGTGAAGTCATTCCCTGTGTCGTGTCCTGTCTCCAGGCCTTATCCAAAGTCTCTTATCCAGGAAAAGCAACACCTCAGTGCAGCTACTTGAATGCAAAATGCCTATAATCCCAAAATATAATTGGGAGACAGATCACAGCTACGTTGTGGCCCAACCAACCATTCCCATTCCAGTGACTCCCAGTGGCACTGGACACACTGCCATACATGCCCCAAGCACAGCACAGGGAATCCAGGCCTTATCCAAAGTCTCTTATCCAGGAAAAGCAACACCTCAGTGCAGCTACTTGAATGCAAAATGCCTATAATCCCAAAATATAATTGGGAGACAGATCACAGCTACGTTGTGGCCCAACCAACCATTCCCATTCCAGTGACTCCCAGTGGCACTGGACACACTGCCATACATGCCCCAAGCACAGCACAGGGAAAATGTCCTTCATATACATCCAAGGAAACTAAACCTCAGGTGGGTGAAGCCAAAAATATCACCAGTGAACAGCAGAACCAGAGGTGGAGCCAGAAACATCCCACCAACATTCCACATACACAGAGGTGCAGCTCTCTGAGCTCCTAATCCTGCTCCAAGGCAGCAGGACATGGACATTGGACTCAGTATTCCCTAATTATTGCTACTTTTAGGAAATTAGATCCAAAATTAGACATGGCACTGGGATACAGATGAGAGATTAGACTTACAGATGTTTTCCTACCTCTGCCAACCTCTTTCTTCCTGGAATACCTTCCTATCTGATGCCTCCAAGTCCAGCAAAACCACAGTAAAAGCAAAAAACAGCCTTAAACTGGAGATGCCAAAGCAGAAGACACCTCTGAGTTAAGACAGGAATCTTACTCCAACCAAACTTCTCAATGTTTGCTCCAGGCCCAACAACAGCAGATACACCTCTGTGAGGACTCAGCAACACATTCCCAAATCCAAAGGTCTCCCTTGGAACCACTCCAAGGAGTCAGCAACCACTTAGGATGGCTGTTCCTACCTTCCTTGGTGGCCAGGGGTGTCCTGGTCGCTGGCAGCCTGCAGAGCCTGTGCTTGGAGATCTGCACTAAACCTCTGGGTGAGGAACGTTTCAGCGTCACCGAAGGTTTTCCCCGTGAGGAGCTTCTCCTGCGGAGGTGGAATCGGCTCTTCAGAGCTGCTGTGGGTGAGATGTTCTTCTTATCTGTTGGAGAGCTGCAAAGGAGAACATCACACAGTTAGGGCAGAGTGGAGAGGTGACCAAAATGCATTTGGTTGCATTGTCCAGAGGTCAGAGGAGGAGGAGGCTCTGAGCTCCACCATGCTGCTCCTCCAGCCAAGGCTGAGAAGATCTGAGCAGAAAACTCCAAGTGAATAGGAAAATCTGAGGAATTCCTGCGAGCTCCACCACGCTGCTCCTCCAGCCAAGGCTGAGAAAGATCTGAGCAGAAAACTCCACGTGAATAGGAAAATCTGAGGAATTCCTGGTAAAAAACAGATGGAGAATGAGGTGTTTGACAGCTAAAGCCACACACTGCTTTCTGCTCAGCAGATGTCAGGGATTGAATCACAGAATCATGGTCATTGCTTTCTGCTCAGCAGGTGTCAGGGATTGAATCACAGAATCATGGAATCACCTGGTTTGGAAAAGATCTCTAACATCAAGTTTGACCACTGACCAAGTCCCCAAGTGCTACATCCAGATGGCTCTTAAATCCCTCAGGATGGTGATCCCACCTCTGCCCTGAGCAGCCTGTGCCAGGGCTGGACAGCCCTTTCCAGGAAGGAATTTTCCCCAGTATCCAACCTGAACCTCCCCTGGCACAGCTTGAGGCTGTTTCCTCTTGTCCTGTAGCTTATTCCATGGGAGTAGATCCCAATTCCAACCTGGCTGCACCTCCTGTCCCCCTGGGGTCCCCAGACTGAGCCCCCACAGCACCCTCAGCCGCTCCTGCTGCTCCAGAACCTTCCCCAACTCCATTCCCTTCCCTGGTCCTGCTGGACTTCTAGGGAGATGAGCAGGTGTAACCCGGAGAAGAGAAGCTCCAAGGAAAAGGCAGAGCCCCTTCCAGTGCCCCAAGGGGCTCCATGAGAGCTGCAGAGGGACTTGGGACAAGGGATGGAGGGACAGGACATAGGGAATGGCTTCCCACTGCCAGAGGGCAGGGAGAGATGGGATATTGGGAAGGAATTCTCTCCTGTGAGGGTGCTGAGGCACTGGGATGAATTTCCCAGGGTAGCTGTGGCAGCTCCATCCCTGGGAGTGATCCAGGCCAGGTTGGATGGGGCTTGGAGCAACCTGGGCTAGGGGAATGTGTCCCTGCCCATGGCAGAGGGCTGGAATGAGATGATCCTCAAACTCCCTTCCAACCCAAACCATTCCATGGTTCTGTGATCCTACACCAACACCCTCCAGTACACAACAACCCTCCCTGGAATTTCACCCACAGCCACAACTTACATGAAATCCAAGGACACGAAATCCAAACAGTTCCAACCAAGAACTTACCCTAAGTTCCCTTTCCTCTTGATGATTTTTGTCCGACTCTTCACTTTGTAAGTGGACAGAGGAGTCTCTCCAAAGGAGGATCTCATCCCACCAGGACCAACCAGTGCAGCACTTGGAGCTGGTGGGACAGGACTGGCTCGAGGGATGTTGAGGGCTAGAGGTTTCTTCTGATCCTCAGATCTCCACTGGAATGCTGACTTGGAAGTAGAGGGCAAGGTCTGCAGGCTGGAAGCTTTCCACTTGTATTTACTGGGAGAAACACCCACTTTGGATTGCAATCCTGCTTTCTTCGGCTTTGCTCCCAACTCTCCTTTGGGTGATGCCTTAGCACCTCTGTCCACTCCCCCACTAACCTTCTTAGCATTTTCAGCTCTTGGGCTCACCCACCTCTTCACACTCCGAGAGCTTTTCCCAGGACTTGCCACCCAGGTGTAGTTATTTTTCCTGAATTTCTGGGATTTGCTGGAGCTGGGTGTGGAGACAGCTCTTGGGACAGCAGCAGCTTTGGGGACTATGGGAAACCTGCTCTTCGCCAGAGTCAGCCCAACATGAGCAGGTATGGAGAGTGTGTCACCACTTCCAAGGAATTTCAGCTCTCTGGAAGCATCACTGACTTCCTCACAGCTCGACTGGCCTGGAGCTGGTGGTTCTGTCTTGATCTGTACCAAGTGTCCTGTTGGCTCATGATCCAGCAATTCCAGAGGCTCTTGTGGCTCTGATTTCAGTGTCACAGCACTTTCACTGGTACTTCCAGAGGAGGAAAAGTTGTTCCTGGGCAGACACACCGTCCTGGATGCTGAACTAAAGGAAACTGACAGGGAAGGTCTTCTCTCTTCACTTTGGATTGTGTACAGAGATTTCTGGACATTTTTAGCATCACCTGCAGGACCAACTGGTGCTTCCAGCCTGGAAAACTCCCTGTGAGAACGCAGATCTTTCGTATCCACAAACTGGGAAGCTCTCTGTGGCATCTGGATGCCCACCACTATGTTCCCATCCATGGTTAAGTCCACGTGTCTCTCCGGGGACGATTCCAGCAGCTCAGACATGTGGTTGTCCCCATAGCTCCCAAAGCCTCGGGATGTGCTGGCAGCACTTCCCACGTCGTACGCCGATCCCGGAGAACGGTTGTCGAGGGAATATTTTTTCCTCCAGGAGTGAGTCTGGTGTGGGTGGAAATTCCTGGGAGCCTGCTGCTGGGGGTACCTGGCAGAAAAAGCTCCTCTCCTGCTATAGCCAGGGTTGTTCCAGAGGGGTGGCACCGATGGCAGTGGCTGTGGCACACTCCTGTGCATGTTCTTGTGGCTGTTGATGAGACCTGAGGAGAAGGGAGACAGAGCCTGTTAACCCCTGATCCCACGGGAATTTGACAGCAGCACACTGCTGGAATTCCTCATGCTGGAATTATGTTGATTGTTCTGTGCAGCCTTGCACAGGTCATGTTTTGGCTAATCGGTTCTGGAAGGAAATAATCATGGAATCACAGGACAGTTTGGGTTGGAAAGGACCATCAAGATTATCTCATTCCATGGGCAGGGACACCTTCTATTAGCCCAGGTGGCTCCAAGCCTCATCCAACCTGGCCTGGAACACTCCCAGGGATGGAGCACAATCTGTGCCAGTGCCTCAGCACCCTCACAGGCAGGAATTTCTTCCCAATATCCCTCTTGCAATGGGAATCCATTCCCCCTTGTCCTGGCATTGCTGCCAGCCCCTAACACAAGCACAGGATGACTAAGGTTGGAAAATCCCTCTGAGTCTGAGTCCAGTCGTTCCTCCAGCACTGTCAAGGCCACCACTAACCATGTCCCCAAGTGCCACATGCACATGGCTCTTAAATCCCTCAGGATGGTGATTCCACCCCTGCCCTGCACAGCCTGTGCCAGGCAGGGCTGGACAGCCCTTTCCAGGAAGGAATTTTCCCAATATCCAACCTGAACCTCCCCCTGGCACAGCTTCAGGTGTTTCCTCTTTTTCTGTCACTTGTTCCCTGGAAGCAGATCCTGACCCCACCTGGTTGTACCCTCCTGTCCCCCTGAGATCCTCCCTGAGTCCTCTTGTCCCCAGGCTGAATTCCCACAGCTCCCTCAGCTGCTCCTTGTGCTCCAGACCCTTCCCGAGCTCCACTGCCCTTCAAGGAAGCTCCAAGGCTTTGCACATCCCTCTGGAATCCAGCACTCCTCCCTGGTGCTTTGATCCACTACCCAAACCATTTGGATTGTAGATCCCTCTTAATTCAGGAGCACTTTGATCCACTACCCAAACCATTAGGATTGTAGATCCCTCTTAATTCAGGAGCTTCTGCACTTGTCCAGCCCCAGAGTTTAGAAAACCTTTCCCACAAGTGATTCCTAAAGGATTTCTGAGCCTGATATTTTAGGCAGAGAAGTTTTTCCTACACAGATGTCACTGAAGAGCAAACTCAGCACATT